ATTTTCTGCTCGAGAATAATCAAGAAACAAAAAATTTCTACTCTACCACAAAAAAGAAAATTTTCAAGAGAAGAATATCACAGAAGAAGACTTAGAATAAAAGATACATACCCATACTTATTACGCAGGAGAGGAAGTTTATCTCTTTCTACCGCACAAGAAGTCTATTTATTTGGCCCTGGTATATTATTTAAAACCCTTAAATATATACCACGCTGCCAAATAAATACAATTATCCCTTATTTAAATTAAGAAATTAATTCACCGCCAACGGAAACAATTCAATCCCCGACGAAATTAACTCTCGACACGACCCGGATTCCTCAACACAAGTCCCCATCTCGAATCGAGAGTTGGGGGGCTTAATGATATACCTAAATGGGCCGGCCCAATGGGCCCTCAAATATATCTACAAATTAGGCCCACTACGCGAAAGCCCAAATACCTTCAAAGTAAGGCTTGGGCCCAACAAAGTAAGCCCAATCCAATCACCGAGATATAAATAGGTGTTTTACTCATTTGTAAAGGTACGTTCTCATTATTGATAATCCACCACGAATTTATTCTCTCTACTCTCCCTACGATCCGTACATCTGACTTGAGCGTCGGAGGGGTTTCCGCCGGATCAACCCCCGGCTTAGTTCACGTGTGCTATTTTCGCAGGGACCTCAGGAGCATCGAATTGACTAGCTACTGATCAGCTTTGCTCTCCCAGCTCGTTTTCTACATTATCCTAGGTGAGCTATCTTTTAGCATCATCAATATATATATATATATATATATATATATATATATATATATATATATATATATATATATATATATATATATATATATATATATATATATATATATAATTGGGGGTAAATTCTATTTCCCACCAGTGTACTTTGGCTAAATATTACTTTACCACTATCGAGTGCCTCGATTCGCCCCCCACACGTGAAAATGTGTCGCAGTGTGCCCTCATTGTTAAGTGACACACATTTGACCATAACACCGTGGGGCGCCTACGCTCTAAAATTACAAAAACCTCCCCCGCTAAGTTTAAATAATTATTAAAAAACAAAAAACAATAAAAAAAAAAAAAGAAAAGTTAATAAAAATTCAAGACAATGAGAAAGCATAGTCCACAACGGCAACCACAACTTATTATTTATTTTCTTAATTTTTTTAAATAATTATTTAAACTAGGAGAGATGGTTTTTTTTTTTTGTAATTTTCAAACTTAGATCAAACGATAGAAAGGTCTAAAAACTAACAGTGAGGGTCACATTAAGACAAATTTTCAAGTACATGAGGGCAAATCGATACAATCGAGAGTATGAGGAGTTAAAGTGATATCAAACCAAAGTAAAGGAGGAAAAGTGGAATTTAACCTATAATAATTAAATATAAAAAAGGGGATAAATACCATGTAGTATATCCATTGAATGAAGAAAGTCCTTTGCAGAAGAGGAAAACGCAGTTGTGCATAAAACAAAGTTTATCCGTTTACCTCGATTTCCGTTCAATTCTCCACCTCTAAATTTATCTACTAATAACAAAATCAAATCTCTCTATTAAGGGGACTATCTTGAAAAAAAATACACGAAAAAATTTATCGGAAAAACCAAATTAAAAAAAAGAAAAATATGATGGGAAGGCAGCAGCAAAATAATCATCAGGATTACCAGCAGTCATCCAAGATATTCTACGAGCTATCAGCTCTAGTTTTGAATATTATGCGATCGCCTCCCTTGTCGATTGATTTTTCCGATCAAACTCCGGCGATCCAACGGCGGGGTAGGGAGGTGGTGGGGCCGTCTTTTCAGCAGATAACTCCGGCGGGTTTTGCTTCCCTGCTGCTTGGGGTTTCGTTATCCCTGATGCTGTGTGGATCGGTGACTTTTTTCCTTGGTTTTATTTTGATGCCGTGGGTTCTTGGATTGGTCGTTTTCTTGTACTTTGTCGGCATAGTTTCGAGCGTTTCGATGATTGGGAGATCCATTTTTTGTCATAATTATTCCCCTTCTCCGCCCAGGAAAGATTTTCCTTGTAAGATTTCTTCTCCAAGATTCAAGATTCGATTTTTTTTCTTTTTCAAATTAGGGTTTTGTGTTATCTGCTTTGGTGATTGTTTAATTGTTAATTTGTTTGCTCTGTTTATATGTATTGAGGATTGATATGTGTTTTTTGTGCTGTTCTTGATTTGCCCTTGATTTCATCCTGCAGTTTTATTTGTTGTTTTTGCTCAATTCTTGGCATTTAAATCTTGGGTTTTCTTACATGATGATCAATTCTTACCTTCGTTTAGATTTGCCTTTCAAGATCCTTTTTTTTTTTTCCCATTTTTTTAATTCTTACATGATAATACAAAAGTAATTACAAAAAAACTCATCATGTTTGGGTGATTAGAAACACCCCTAAGCTATGAATCTTCATACACATCCACGCTTACAGTCAAATTTAGTGGAATCTTCTCAATTATGTGGAATATTCTCCAGTACCCGTTTTACAATCATTCGAGTTTCATACTTTGAAACAAGATGATCATAATATATGGTCTTGGCTTATAAATATCAGATTATGGTGTATCAAAACTGTATTTTTGCATAAAATGAGTACAAACTAGAGAAGATTCCACGTAATTTAGAAGATTATATTGAATTAGGCTACATGTAAGAAAATTCATAGTTGAGAGGTGAATGTAATTACCCAAACACGAGGAGTTGTTTCATAATCTAAACTTATCTCAGGGAGTGGGGGTGGCGGTAATTTACCCGACAAAAGTTGTAGCTAATTCTTCTTATTATACACACATTGAGTTTTCTAGCTGCGTTATTACAGGGCAGGCCTATTGGTTTATGGTTGACCAAACATTTCGTTTTATTTTTATTTTTGGGTGGTTAAAAGATTCTCATTATCACCGGATAGACAATATTGAATGCATTATTAGCTTTTTGTAGTTTGCCGAGCGCAGATGAAATTTAATCAACGACGCATAGGCTACTAATATCTTATATGGTGTTTTTGGAGCTTGTAGCATTGGATGATAAGGCTTTGCAGTGTGTTAGTAATGGTAATTAGTAAGAAAATTTGTATTAATCATACTACATTTTTTGAAAAGAAAAAATTAAGTCGGGAGGTCCGTGCTCTTTGCCAATAGCTTATTTCCGGGGTATTTTTTAATGTTCTTGAAACATTTTGTAAGATATTTTAAAGAGCTTCTAAACGGCTTTCATTTGCTGAGATTGTAAAAGGGATCTCAATTCAAATCGATAATGTACGCTTGCTCGAGATCTTGAAATTTTTCCCTATTTGTACCTTTTACTTTGTCTCTTTATAGTTTCCTTCATCCGTGGTTAGCGCTTAGAACGTTTAATTCTTTATTTATTTATTAATTTATTTTGTTGATCCCTTGCATTGCAGCGTGGAAGCTTTTGTGACGACAATTTAGATACGAGCTGGTGCGAAGGACTTAAAAGCAGCAGGTTTGCTGTTTGGTTTCCGTACCGGTTCAAATTGACGTACTCCAGTTGGGGAACTGTGGATACTACTTTTCTCGTTCGAGGGATTCTACGAACATGTGGATTTATTGAAGAATGAACTGTGATACATTTCATTAGCCTTGTTTTTTTTTTTTTTCTTGCTGGTTTGCTAGGAACATCTATTATATGTTGCTGCATGTTCTCTCTCTTGAAAGAGATTTTTTTTTTTTTTTTTTTTTTTTTGAGCTTTTAAATATGTATATGAATTGTAGACTGTATGATAATTCCTATCTTCTGAGAAATGAATTATGTTTGCTGAAATTGATAAGATATGTGTTGGGCATATACAATTGAGGGTATTCTGGTCTTTGTTCATTGTGTTTTACTCATTTTTTTTGGGGCCTATTTGAGATACCCTGTGAAAGTGAAACTACTACAAAATAATTCTTTTTATTATTAATTTTTTGAATTTTTTTTCTCGTACAAATGATTGTTATTTATAGTTATGTTCTTTCTTTTTGCCCATAAATTATGGTCGATTAATTATGTACACACATAATATCATCACAAATTTATACCAAAAAAAATTCACCAACATCAAAAACAAAATTCACAATTTAAAAATTATATTATACATCAATTAGTAACCAACAAATACAGATCAAAACACACCAACACATGCATATAGTATTATGTCACTATAAGTTACTACACATGACTATAGCAATGTGTAGCATGTAGTTGACTCCAATAAACACTATTGTGGGCCGGAAGAATCGTCGTCGTCGAAATAGACGTGCATTATTAAAAGACCATAGGAACATATCCATAGCTCCAAAATGTATGACATTACCATCAAAAGAAAGAGCTTGACGAGAGCAATCCAATGGCAGGTAACCCATCGAATTCTGACCGGTGGAGAGAAAGCTATGGCTCCAAGAAACACCACTATTGGCCGGAAAACTGAGGCGAAAATTCGGACCAATATACGGTAGAAAACTCAAGTGTTCACGAGTCCACTATATATGGACACTTAATTGAGTTTTAAAATACAGTTCGGTTTCGATTTTGGATTATAGATCCAATTGAGTCGGCTAACAAGCCCGTCAACCACGAAATGAATGAGTCCAATCGAGACTGGATATGACCGAGAAACATGAACCATGAACATGTCTAGTAAGTCCTATGCTTAGTAATCTTAAATTCACAAGTAGATTTTTAACTTCAAAATCTTTTTTCGATTTTGAATTTTTGTGTGGTGTGCAATTTTTTTGAATTATACTATTAAAAGAAATATATTTCTCAAATATTGAAATATGAAAATTTATTAAACCTAAAACGATACTTTTTCTTATTCCTTTTAAAGAAATTCAAATAGATCAACATTGTGTTTTTTTTTTCTTGAAATAAAAGGAAGCCCCACACAACTCACATATTGCCCATTGACTAAATTTTTATTATCGTGCAATACTCGCGAATTGCAGAAAATATGTAAACTACGCAAGGCATAAGCTGCAACAACTTGTAAATGGGTTCAAACTCGGTGATTCAATTCGCGCTTTCTTAATCTACCAACTAAAACTAAGATTCAAACTCAGATCTTTAGTGATGCCTAACTGTACATTGAACGTAATAATGGAGTTAACATTTGGCGTTTATACTGCATACCTGTAATATAAGAAGTGAATAAAGTTGTAAAACACCATTTTCAACAACCTACTCCAACGATGTTATATATTTTACACAACTATAATTTTTTTTTTATCGCTTAAATTAATAGTTTGAATTTGCAATTCAAATCCCATATTATAAATATTTATAATTATAAAAACTTTTTTGATATATGTTAATTTCAAAAAAAAAGTTGAGTTTTGAATGGCGCAGTTATACTATTCGAATATTAAATTAATTAATAGAACAATAATTAACTTCTAATTATAATTAGTAATAAATATAAAGTTAATTTCCAATATTAATGTAATTATTTTAAAAATATTCAGTATAGAGTACACTAATGTATTTTTTTTTAAATATTTTCTTAGTTGTTTAAATTATAACATTGTTTTTCCAATATCAGAAACTTGATAAACCAAAGTTATAATTTGAATATAGTGTATAATTTACATTAGGTTTTTGGAGTATGGATTCTTTAGGTTAGTTTAAATTTTAAATATAAAAAGGTTATTATAAATTAATTAAAATTATACTAGGAAAAAGAAATCAGAGAGAAAAAAGAAGGGAGAAACAAACTTACACTGGATCGTCTAGGTCGACCGAACCTGCGCGGGCGAAGCCCAACAGATTTCAAGTCTGTCTCCTTAACCACTCGGACATATCGACTGATGTTACTTGGAGCGGAACTAAATAACTATAATCTCTTATATATTTAATTTCAACACCACATTTCTTTCTCTGATTTAGTGTGAAACACCGTATTTGAAATTTCTTTTTTTGATGATTACCGTATTCGAAATTTCGATTTCCGATTAAAAATCCAAACATAATGTTGTATAAGCCATAAGGTATGAATAGTACTAAATTCCTTAATTACTATGTTAGTGTAATACTTTTTTTTTTTTGTTATTAAGTTATGTATTAAATTGGTCATTTTATTTTATTTTCACTTTTAAAATGTTATCCCATGCATCGTATAGGAAAAAAATGCAAGTTAGTGTTAAATCAAGAAACATATTAATGACAAATTGGGACACTATTTTTTTTATTTTAATGAACGAGGATAAACATACACTCTCGTATAACAGCTTGCAAACTATATGACAGATGTAAACTAACTAGACTAATCATGTGTGACAAACTCGACCTCACGACCATTAACAAGGAAATTCAAACCCGAATCAATTAACGCAAACTCACTTACTCCAACCACTAGATAATCTGTTACATGACGTAAATTAGGAAAATGTCATTTAGTTGAAGAGTGTATGACGTGAAAAACTGGGATTCTAATGTTGCTTCCACAAGTTTATTGCTCAACCAAAGTTAGTTAAAATTTAACTAATTTCTAGTATATTTATTTATTGGAAGATATATCTATCAAATGGCAAATGGCAAATGTGAATATACTTATCTTTATCATGTATAAAAAGTTATCTAGAATTTTCCAAGGTCAAGACCATGAAAAAAAAAGTACTAACTCTTCTTTTTGAAATAATAAAATTTATTGCAAAGAATAAGCTTCCAAAATGGCAAAATAATTGACACTCATAAACAAATTATTTGCTCTTGAAATTATAATGGACCAAGATTCAATATTAAGATATTATTGCATATGAAACTTATTTTTTAAATTGTATATAGTGAATTTCAATTTCGATGCAAGTCTAGTGGGGAAAAAATTATAAAAAACTTAAAAAAAAAAACTGAAAGTAAAAAATAATTATTATATAATGGATTTTGATACCCAAAAAATCATTTTTATTTAAAAAAAAAAAGAGAAAAGAAAATTTATTTATTTTAAATCAAAATGAAAAAAACGAAAATATATATAAAAAACTAATTTAAAATAAAAAACTGAAAAGAAAAAATAAAATAGAATTATAAGAATATATAATAAACAATGAAATCAAATTCACTAAATATATATGGGTAAATTTTGGTAATCTACATCTAATGATTTTATTATATAAATTTAAAATTTGGGATTATCATAATAAGGAACTTCATGGTTTTTGTCAAATTGCCCTTATATTATATTCTAAGTTGAATTAGAATTATGCTCTAATTAGGATTCAACCACTGATTAATATAAATATTACATCGACCCCATTGTATGTTCCGACGAATCTATTATAGAATTTCGTGCTCTCTACCATATTCTCTGTACTAGCATCTGAGTTGAGCATCGAAGGGGTTTTCATCGGATCAACCTCAGCATTTTATAGGTTTGATCTTCAAGCATCCATCTCTTCGTGGTTGGATCATCCGCTTGCGTGCAAGAAATATAACTCGTGTTCCCGTACAAATCTATCAAGGTAATCTTTTTATACATATATATATATATATATATATATATATATATATATATATATATATATATATATATATATATAAAAGATGATTTTGTTTTTTCAAATTAAGGTTAAGGTTATGATGCTGCACTGTCAATGCTAAACAATGATAATGATTGACATAATACTAATAGGCCCCGTTTGGTTGCCAAGATAAGCCATGATTAACTAAATAGTTGGACTTAATTTGATGTTTGGTATCCTCAATAACTTGCCGGGTCGACCCGCCAAAATTATATAATCATGGTTTATCTTGTCTTATCTTGGCTTATCTTGCCTTTTAATGAGTTTTTTTTGTTGGACCTTTCAAGCTCCAATAAAATAATTGGGTCTCATTAGATTATTTAATCTTATCTCGGCTAATCTTATCTTGTCAACCAAACGGGGCCATAGTATATAAAAATATTTAACAAAAGAAAAAGTTAACTCATGTTAATAGTAACCATAGTTGAGTTTCCCAATGCCATGCCATGATTAAAAATTAACCACGGTTAGTTAAAATTATCCCCAATTAGATAGATGCCCATATCGTAATTCTCAAGTGTGTGTGTGCGCCTCCTCCTTTAAAAAAAAAAAAAAAAAGAAAAAGAAAAAAACCAAAAAAAGAAAAAAATAGAAAAACAAAGAGCAGCGAAAATCGTCTGCGGAGAATATCTTCTTTTCCCTGAAAAATCAAAATTGGGAGAAATTTTTGGGGGCGAATTGAAAAATAGTAAACTTATTTTCCAGTGATGGAGCTCTGCGATTCAATTGAATAGTGACCATACGTATTTCTCTCGATTAAGGTAGTCCTCTCTCTACCCTACGGTTGTATTCTCTGCTTTATGGTACTGATCATCGTTTTCTAGGGTTTTGTTTTTCCGACAACGATAATGTGATTTAACCTACATGTGAACTCTGTTTTTTTTTTTTTAGCATTTTGATTCAGGCTGCTAATTTCTGAGTTCTGTTAATTCGTTTGGGTTTTGGGCTGCTGTAATTTTGTTTTTAATTAGTTTTTTTTTTTTTTTTTGACGCAATTATGTTTTGCTGGTGTGATGCTTGAACTAATACTTAGCTTGATCAAGATTCAGGCTGAGAAAATATATGTCAGCTAGTGGGTGTTTGTTATTAAACGCCATATTTTTGTTTCACGGTGATTTTCCGATTTTCGGTATTGCTTATATCTATACTGTTTTAATTATTGATTTCACTACTTCAAATTTGCTGATGTTGGATGGAATGACTGTTTTTGCGCTATTTTTGCGTACTCCCGTTTCGAATTATTCGTGTTCTTCTGGTGTTTGGAAGTAGTTCTTGATTATATACCGTTGTCTCGTACGCAGAGGGAAGTGTTTTAGTGAGAGGCGACGTGTAGATGGAGTGCAACAGAGATGAGGCTGTGAGATCGAAAGAAATCGCAGAGACAAAGTTTCTAGCAAAGGACGCCAAAGCTGCGAAAAAATTCGCGCTCAAGGCGCAGAATCTGTATCCCGAACTAGAGGGCATCACCCAAATGGTCATGACTTTCGAGGTATATATTTCCGCCGAAGAGGATAAAACGAACGGAGAATCGAACTGGTACGGCGTGCTTGGTTTGACTCCTCTAGCTGACGACGAGACAATAAGAAAACAGTACCGGAAACTTGCTCTTCTTCTTCACCCCGATAAAAACAGATCTATAGGAGCTGAGGGTGCATTTCAACTCGTTTCTCAAGCGTGGAGTTTGCTTTCGGATAAATCAAAAAGAGCAGCATATGATCTAAGGTACGGTGCGAGGAGAAATCAGAATAATACGAATCAAGGTCCTTCACCGCCTATGCAAAACGGATTTTACAACTTTGCAAACACAGCAGCAACTCCACAGACGAAGGTCCCGAAGGGTAGTAGTAATAATAGTAACAGCAAGAGGCCTCCCTCTTCTGTTCCTCACACATCTCGTAGGAAGGAGCGTCGTACTTTTTGGACAGTGTGTCATAGGTGTAAGATGCAGTACGAGTATCTGAGGATGTATCTCAACCACAATCTTCTCTGCCCGAATTGCCACGAGGCTTATTATGCCGTCGAAATCGATCCCCCATCCACCAAGATTTCCAAACCGACGGATAATTCACAGCAGCGAAAACATACAAAGCATGGATCTGATGCCTCGAGAAATAATAATAACTTCCAGTGGGTTCCTTTCTCCGAATCAACTGGTGCTAAGTCTGCTGCTCAAGCTGCGAATATGGTCCAGCAGGCTTATGATAAAGTCAAAAGGGAGAGGCAGAAGGCACAAGCTGCTGCAAGAAAAGAGGAAGCTTTGCGGAGGAAAAATCTCGCCTCGAAGAGAAGAATGGATGCGGAAAGTTCCGGGCATGCCGATGCTGCCAAGAGGAGAAAAGGGGTCGAAGATTGTGGTACGAACAAAGAGAACAACCTTAAACAGATGAACTGCAAGAGTGGAAATCTTGAACAGGATAATTTGCAGAAAATAAAAAGGAAGGAAGATGGGATACGCCGTTTCGGCGTCAACCATTTCGTGATGGAGAAGGCTCGTGAGGAAATCAACAATAAACTAAAGGAACACAAGGTTCCTGAAAAGATCGAAGAAAATGAATCTGCAAATTTAAAGGATTCGAGTTTGACACGTTGTTCTTTACCCGATCAGAACAAGCTCTGCGAGAAACTTGTTGACCACATGTTATCAGTAGATGTGGAGGATCCCGATTTTCATAATTTTGATGAGGGCAGAACAGAAAAATGTTTCGGGGACAACCAAGTGTGGGCGGTGTACGACGATGTTGACGGAATGCCACGTCACTATGCCATGATCCGAAATGTCATATCTCTAAATCCCTTCAAGGTGAGTATGAGTTGGCTGAGTTCTTTAACGCACGGTAGACTGGGCCATATGAGTTGGTTTCTAACCGGTTCTTCAAAAACATGCGGAGAATTCCGAGTGGACAGGCATGAAATTTGTGACTCGATAGATTGTTTCTCACACAATGTAAGATCGTGGAAAAGCACTTCTAAGACTATTCAAATCTTTCCACGAAAGGGGGATGTGTGGGCTTTGTACAAGAATTGGTCACCCGAGTGGAACGAGCTTACCGAAGATGAAGTAATACACAAATACGAAATGGTCGAAGTACTCGAAGACTACGACGAGGAAATGGGAGCAATCGTGGTTCCACTGGTTAAAGTTGCCGGTTTCAAAGCCGTTTTCCATCAGCATCTCGACCCGAGTGAAATACGACGGATCCCTAAACGGGAAATGTCTCGGTTTTCTCATATGGTGCCTTCTCATTTGCTGACCGGTCAAGAAGGAACAAATTCGCCAAAGGGTTGTCACGAACTTGATCCTGCAGCCACTCCTCTACAGTTTCTTGAAATTATGTCGAATATTGAAGAAATTCAGTTTGTCGAGAGTGATGACGAAGTTGAGTTTGTGAATGCAGTTGATTGTGATGTGAGTACGAAAACCAATACAGTGGAAGTAATTTCTTGATTTCGTAGAAGTGGAGTTTCCTTGGAGAAATTAAGGATAAGGTCAAGGTTAGTAAATTCAAAATCATGGCCCAAATGGAAATCGAAAAAACTTATTTGCTCGTAGCTCATATATATATACGACAATAGCGAAATAATCGATGGTATAGAAGAGAACAGAGTGTTCTCTCCGACACGGGTTTCTGTAAAACAATCGACTCCATGCAAAAGGCAATGCTGGAATTGCCGTTTAACTTGGAGTTGCATGGAAGGAGTACCTTGTGCACGATGGCGACGAAACAGGTATAGAGGCGGGAGAGCTGTATTTACGGACCAGCTTTTGATTTATCCTTTATTTAATTTTTTTTTTCCGTTTTTTTTTTCCTTCAACTGCCATACTTTTTTGTTATTTATGTTAATTGACATATTGGCTATTGCTTAATCTTTTTATCGTTCGCACATTTGAAGTATTGTCGACGGGATCACTAAATGTACTTAACTGTATCGGTTCGGTTCTCAGTTTTTATTCTCATTTCACATTATTTCCGAACTCGTTAGTTGTTCTTGATTCATTTCGTCCTTTTTTTTCGTGATTGGTTTTGTAGTTTTCGTATTTTTCAACCTTTCGTCATTATATATATGTTTAACCATGATATTGAATCTTCAGTTTAACCATGGTTTGTTACTCTTTGTTATAGGAAACACTAGAAAGTAAATAAATGTATGTATAGTTTTGACTTTTGAGGTATATATGTTCGTCTTAACATGAGTGAGCTGAATTAGAAACGAAAGGGTTAATAAATTTTATATTGATTCATTAAATGCATTGAGTATTTAAGTGCAATTTTTTAAGAAAATGAACTTTGACTTTATGTATTCTTAAATAAATTTATGTAACATCTACACAGTTACTCCATCTGTTTCATGATACCTGTCTTTTTTTGAGAAGTTTGTTTGTTCTATAATATATGTCATTTAAAATTCTAATACTGCATTAATTACATAGTTTTCAATTATACATTTATTTACACATATGAGGGAATTAATGTTGGACTTATTGGATCCTTAGCAATTTATACAATTGGGGATCTCTAGAAAGCTCGTTTTTTGAAACTTTAGAGAGATCAACAACGTTACGACTGTTTTATTTATCACCAGGTAGAGATGAATACTATATGTTCGCGGCAGGAAATTCTCCAACACAATTTCTGCATTAATTAGTAAACAAAGGTATTTAGGTCTATCAATATTTATTTTCTTAAAATTAAGGCACATTTATCGAAATTCTTAAAATTAAAACATATTTATTGAGATTCTTAAAATTTGTGCCAAAATGAAAAACAACACCTATTTAGCAACGGATGAAGTAGTATGATGTGCATTATGTTTCTTAAATTAGTTCTTGGATTAAATCTATGAAATTCCAACAAAAAATATGAGTGGTACTAATTTAATGAAACAATAACATTTAATTGCAAATTTTAACTTTTGTAGCGAATTTCAATAAATACAAATTTTATCGACTTAAATTGGTACAAACAATAATTTCAAGAGATAAAAGAATCATAAAGTGATACCAAAGAAAGAAGATATTGATTAATATTAATTTTTTTTTAATTTCTTTGTGACTTCTAATTTTTTTTGTGGTTTAGGTAATTACGGAGTCAAACAATGGTTTATACCATGCTATATCTGGTGAAATATATCGAGTAAATTTTTACCGTTCATAAACACATAAATACGCACGCACTCAAATCGGTGTGCGTAAATCAATGGAAAAAATCCATCAAGTATAACTTTCACCGGGTGTAGTAAAAAAATAACTCTAAAACAACCATCTTGATTTCTTAGATCATATTTGTATTTATTTTATCTTATTTTCTTCTGTCACCGCTACAAAAATATAGGACCAATCAGTGATTGCCACGTCGGCAGTACACGTGTTTTGACCAAGGCGAGTTCGCCACGGACTCACAACTCACCTCACCTCTACGATTTTAGCGACTATAAATACCCTCAACAGTCATTTCTGCAGAAGAAAATTAGGGAAAAAGAAAAAGAAAAATTAAGAGATCGGTGTGCAAATTGCAATCGCCGTCGCCGGAATTCTCACAACCTACACATCGGCCAAATTTTCCGATACCTATCTCATCGCAACAATGGTAAACTTCCTATTTTGACTCATTTTTACGATTATTTGCCTTTTTACCCCTTTTTTGTTTGCTATGTGAATTTTTATCTTCCCGTTCGAAGTTTTTCAATCTATTTGTAATTTTTGTGGTTGATGATAATATGTTCTTTCTGTTTTTATTTAATTTTTGTGGATCTTCAATGTAGATCTCATAGTAGTATATATTGCTTGTAAAGTTTTTGACGAATTTGATTTTTTTTTTTTAAATAGTTATATCTTTAATAGAACATTCTTTAGATTTCGGAAAATTATTGTTGGCTTAATTGGAAGATGGATAAAGAAAATTAGAAGGGTAAACAACATTTTTTTTTTCATTTTAATTTAATCGGTGGTGATCGATGTAGAAAATGATTATATGAACAATCATAAAGTATTAAACTTTTAATGTTTTATCCCATATAACATAACAAATAGGATCATATCTACAAAATTTTCAATAATATTACATAAGTTTTTTGGAGATCTTCTATGTTAAAATGATTAAATAATATTTGTATTTTTTATATGTTTCGGAATAAATTTTATGTTAGCATATATGTATATGTATATTGTTAAATATGTTTATGCATTATGATGTGAATCAGGATTAAAAAAAAAGTTATTTAGCGATGTGTGTAATCATAATTTAACGAATGGTAAAAGTTGTGCTCGGTGTTATTTGCCCTTGTCTACAAAACAGAAGGGGTTGGATTTTCCGAAAACACACCCCTTTCCAGAAACAAGAGGAGGTAAAATACCGTCTCTTTGTTCTTTGTAGAATGCTGATGTCGTATTTCCTCATTGGGTAGAAAGAGGTTTTTCACTTTTTGTATTTTTTTTAGTTGAAGTAATGAAATGCCTTCTCGCGCTTCTTGTTGATCCGATCAAGTATAGAATGGATAATATGATTGAATGGGAAGAACAGTGTTTATTTTATAGTTTGATTTATCATTTCCAATATCTCGAAGAAAACCTCTAAATCCCATTTGAGTAGTGACCTTAGTTATTTACCTTCAATCATTTGGAGAAATCCAATTCACCAAATTCAATTCATTTTTTCCTGTTCTCGTATTGGATATGCTCTTATCAGACAACTTATTTGTGACTTTTATCTGATATTCAGACAACTTCAAGGAGGCTTGCTGACAGGAAGGTTGAGAGGTTTGAGAAGAATATCACCAAGCGAGGTGCTGTTCCCGAGACTACCACAAAGAAGGGAAACGACTTTCCAGTGGGCCCAGTCTTGCTTGGATTTTTCATTTTTGTCGTCATTGGTTCATGTAAGTCTTTCTCCGACATCTTACCCCGTGAATTCATCATCCCATATCATTTTGTTGATTCAACTTGCTTGATTTTGATATTTAATTGCTTATTGACCGTTAAAATATTTGGTTTTCAGAACCTTAATGTAAGTGTTACTAAAAAAAAAACAGAATCTTTGAGGGAGAAGTTGAGTTCGTTACTAAAAGTTATAGAGCTAGTTCATGGAAGTTTAAACAATTGGTACTTGTTTGACAAGTTTCTGGTTTGTGTCTAACTAGCTTTATTTCAATTAATCAATTACAAGTATCTTAGCGTTTAGTAATTTGTCTATGCCGGGTCACATGCTTATTTTCACATGTTCTTACTCTTTTTTTCTTGTTGTTTTTCTTTTTCACATGTTCTTACTCTAATTTGTGTCGAACTAGTTTTTTATCTTTTTGGTTTTCAATAAAGGAAGTATTGCATGCTATTTTTTTTGTCCTTAAATGTTTGTGTTGGACTTGAAAAGAAAACATTTACTCGTTTAAAAAAATGTAGTCGAAGTGGTTTAGATGTTTGGTGGGCTGGATTGTGTTGTTATATATCGAGTCACCTAAATAGTAGCACAAATTTCTTGTTGCCCGTCCGAAGATGTTACAACATTCAATTTGCAGCACTTCCTTTCTGTACTCTTTCTTTATTTTTTTCTCTTCCTTTGAAGTTATTAAGGAAGCCCAGAGATTGATTTTCATCGAAAACCAGCAGCCATCTATCTCCGTTTTTACTTTTACTTTTGTTTTGTTTTGTATATTTTAGGTGTGAATTAATTAACACTCTGTGTTTGTCTCCCTCTCTCTCTCTCTCTATCTATCCACAGCTTTATTCCAGATAATCAGGACAGCAACAAGTGGAGGGATGGCTTGACTTCAGTTCATCTTCTTTCAATATTGGACAGCTACTGTGGTTGTCTTTTATTGATCTTTCATTATGTGTTGTTTTAAGGCAGTAAGCCAAACTTAGAAATCTAGTATCTTACAGTGCAGTTTTGTTGTGAATTTATTTACCGAAACACCCCTCCGTACTCTTTTCTTTCTTCGACAATGAAGTTTGTTTAGACTTTTGAATCGCACATTCCTAGTATAATACAAGTTTATTATTAGTTATTGTAATACTTAATTCTATGTCTGCTCCGCCATTGTGATACGAAAATTAGAGTCGACTTCTCTAGTCTGCTCTACTGTGATAATCATTATTAGTGGTGGTTCGTGAGCCAAAAGACTGAAAAATCACTGCTTGTGTGTGCTTTATATTATATGCTCAATTATTTTTCGGAGTTGGTAAATCGTAATAACAATCGTGTCCTGATGATTATCGCACTCACCGTAACATATAACAATCACTCTGAATTTAACTTTTAAGTTTCAACTGCACAAGCCAGCTTAACTAGAAAGAAAGATGGAACCCATTTAGACAAAAATGTACACTGATTATTTGATTAAAAAGTAGAGCTTACTTAGATAATAATAATATTAATAATAATTAATAATAGATAATACATCCTTCACAAGCCCAGCTAAATAGAAAAACTAGAAGCCATCAACTCGTTCCTGGGAAATACAGATTTAAACATTCCACTATTATACACCATACCCCAAAAAAAAAAAAGAAAAAAAAAAGTCTTTAGTTTTTACCTCCAGATAGTCAGCCACCATACAAAGAAAAAAAAAATCGATCGGCAGACGCGTAAAAAGACTTTTTAAGCCAAGGCGGTCAAACAAGGATGAAAGGCGGTGCCGCATGCAATCCACTGCCTCTTCCTCCCGCGCGGGAGCACACACCCCGGCACTTTCAGCCACTCGCCGCTCTCCAAATCATAAGTAACCAACCGATTCATCTGCCTCGATCTCAAAGACAGCATCAGCAAACCCTTATTACCCAGGCAATTCATTCTAACGTGCTTCCCGTAAAACTCCAAGCACCATACGTTTGGCATTCTGTCGACCTCCTTCCACAGCATAGTCATCCTCTGCAGCTCCCATATGCACACGCACGTCGCCGCATTCTTCGTCACCAGCCCCACCATCACCACCCTGCCGCCGCCCCCCTCCGCCAGCACCTGGTCAGTCACGTGCGGCGGCACCGGAATCACATCCTGCCCCCAAACCCCATTCTCCATATCGTAGGATAGTATTCCTTCCGGGTCCGAACGCATCAAGTAGACCGTTTTACCGACCGACACCACCTGCGACCGGAAGTTGATCGAAAGCGGAATCTTGATATTCCCCGGAATATTCCCGGGCCGGCCCCACATGTTCTTTTCCGAGTCGTAGACTTCGTACTCGCCGTCGCAGCCAACCCAGAGAATCTTGTACGCTGACGTGGCCGATTTTGTCATACCGACAGCCACGCGTGACCAGACTTTGACGGACCTAGGTGGCAGCTCCTTGAACGACCTGGTTAGAGGGTTGCAGACATAGAAGCTTCGGTGGCCGATGTCGAGGAAGCAGATGAGGCCGCCGGCAGATGCCACGGGCAAGACGATCTGCTTAGTTGGCAGAGCGGGGACCGTTGGATGGTGCCATTTGTTGGACGATGGATCGTACATTGCTCCTGTGTTGACGTTCTCGTGGGTGATTGTGTAGAACCATGGTTGACTCTGTTTGACTCGAGAGCATTGGTTGGAGAAGCTCTGGGAATTGAGCAATGAGTTCCAGGTTCGGCAAACGGAGCGGAAGCGGAAGAATGCTGCGATTGGGAGTCTTGCTATTACGGCTTCAAAGAGGTCTTGTGGGAATTCTTGCCAGATTTGCTGTTCCATGTTGTCGTCTGAGTTTGAGGTTGTAGTAAGAGTGGTTTTCCCTCGGCCCTTTCGAGCTTTCTTTGTAGGCGGAGGTTTTCCGGGTTCGAGCATTTTCAGGTTTTCGGATTTACCGGCGGTCATTATTATGTTGTAGCAGCTGTCTTGTAAGGAACTACCTTCGAGATTAAAATAACACCATCTGCAGAATCACACCGAGTATATTTAGATAAATGGGAATTCAAAACGATAAGGGACAAAGAACATTATTCTTGAAACTAAGTCTCGTCGACAAATTAATCCTTCAATAGAGCAATGGAAGTTGTTCAAGAATAACACTTTTATTTGTAAAACAACATATTTATCAAATAAGACGTTTTGAGAAATACCGTTTGTAAATTTATTTAGTTGGCTTTAGATTCAATTGCGTACAGACAAAGAACAATTCGTATATGAGCAGTTAAGTCATTAAACAAAGTGACGATATATCAAAGTCTTCAATTCCAACACCACACACTTCGCTTATGGTTTTTAACCCGTGACGATAAACTCAATTCCCGAGGTACTCACTGAGAAAAGTAAAGATGGAGGCTTTCCTATCTTGAAGAAACTAGGCTACTGCCCTAGTGGCTGTTGAGTAATGTCGAAATGAAATTCATTTAGTAATTATAAGTCGGCAGAGATTATTTTAAATTGTAATGAGAAATAGAGGAACGAAAATATTCGAATCCACAGAGGTTCTAATTGCTAGTTTCGACAAAAAAGGATAAGCACGTACCAATTTTAACAGCATAAGAGCATTCTCTCTACAATCTTATTCCGTACATATAGTGTGTGTTTGTGTGTCTCGTCGTATGTATGTGTGCGTGTAATTCAACTTTCAATCACTCGCTCTATAATCTTAAAATCCGACAAGAATTTGACACAATCATGAAAACCAACAAGATTTTAACCAAAGTGCTCTAAAGGGAGAGAGAGAGAGAGAATCTTCAATACAAATCTCACCGATTTCTTATACAGCAGAAATATTCGAAACTATTCGAATTAAAATGTTAATTTATATCTCATCAAAACGAATATCCCGGCAGGCGTCAGAACATTTTCAACTCGACAACTAGCACAAAAATAATCATGCTGAACTATCTATAAATTACAGCAGCTCCTCTTGTAATACACTAGAACAATTCCAATACAGCGTGCAATTAACTAATTCGTTTCATATAGCTTCGTGTTTTTTTCTTCTCTACGACTTAAAAATTGATAAATTAATGAATGTTGATGTATGCGCGCGAAGAAGAACAAACAGCTTATTCCCAAGTATCCAGACAATGCAGAACCAGATATACTAAATGTACCCCCAGATCAATGTGCCATGAAAGAATGCGAATAAAACGAAAAATAAGACCTCGACAAATGAAAGTCTTTCGAGTCTCGTGTTCTCTCCATACGCACACGGAAAAAGTACGAAAGAAAGGAAAAGGTAGAATATAAAAGCTATGAACCTAATTCAATTATATTTCAGTGTATAAAAATTACACGCTTACACATGCATTTCAAGATTCACGCAGATACTACGGATTTCAGTGGGGGGTTAACCCAAAAGAAGTGATCCGTCAAAATCACATACCGTACTAAAAAGAGCAATCTCGAAAAGAAATCCTCAAATTCTTCTTGATTATAAACAATCTATAAGGATTTCTATCCTGGACGACTCGAAATATTGTGAAGTATTCACAAATGAAGCAACGAAAATAAGTCATATTCTAGCTTTCTTAGTCGACTCCAAATAATTGAATCCACATCGTTCAACATGGTTTTGACACTTCATTTAATTTGCTCAACTGCTCTCATATCGACACCGAGATGGCATGCATTTCTATCCGTAACATCGATTTTGTAAGCATAAGTCATGACAGTTTACATTATAAAGCTTACAATCATTAGATTCTCGCACCTTATTTCGGGCATCCTAAATTTGAATGGCCTCTAAAATTGGGAAAAAGTCGGGTTAAACCATTGACAAAATAAACTAAAATACCCAAACAATTCTTATTTTAGTGACCCAAAACTCGTCCCGATTTCACAAAACAATACACAAACTCAAAGATTCAATCTTTCAGTCGACACCGAATCAAAGTATCAGCTTTTATACCCCAAAAAAACACTCTCCATTCGTATTTTTTCGAAAACCAATAAACCCAGAACAACTACAAAAAAAATCAGAAGCCACCAAAAAAAAAATTGTCAAAAAATTAACTGGAAAACCCTAGTCCAGATGGTGATAAATTAACCAATTAATTAATTAATTAAAAGATTAAAAAATATATACATAAATAAAACATTCTAAAATCAGAACCACCATATGCGCAGTAACGAAAGCTTCAATTGAAAAAACAAATCGAAATTAAAAAAAAAAAAACAAAAATTGAGAGACCTGAGAGGTAGCAGCTGTTCTGATGAGGGTTGTTGCGGTTGAGGTTGAAATTGGATGAAGTAATTGGAAGGAACCGTAGGAGGAGGAGAACCGTAGAGTTCAAGAACCTCTTGCAATTGTCCAATAAGTTGCCTTAACATGGCCACCCCTTCCATCATTCACTCCATAACTACTATACTCACCCCCTCCCCCAAACCCCTCTCTCTCATTTTATTTTTTCTCTCTCTATATCTAAAGGTTGTACGTATCTGTTTTAGTGTGTGTGTGTAGTAGTGTGTGTTGGTGGTGTGATGGAGAGAGGGGGGTTTTGTTTGTGTTTGTTTGTGTTGTTGAATTTGGGTTATTTGTTGTTTAATTAATTTAAGCCATTCCGGTATTTACACGTCACCATGCCCATACGATTTGATGAGTAGTATTGACCTTGTACGCATATATATACTTTTTTCATCCTCCTACTCGATTGATTTTTTTTCCCTCTATTTCTTTCCCAAATTACCCTTCTCATTTTCTTTTTTTTTTCTTTTTTTTTTAAATGGCCTTTTTGAGTTTTAGGTAGAGAAGAAAATAGTAGGGAACGGATCGGAATCGACTTCTTCGGAATTTTTTCGATTTTTTTCGGACGTAAAAACCCACTTCCAATTTCAATTTGAAAAAAAAAATATCAAACTCTAGAGATCCATTCCAATTCAAAAAGTTTTGGAATTTCGAAATTTCCAAATATTACACAACTTTTGAAAATTTCGGAAAGTTCTGAATTTTTGGAAATTACATAAATTATCAAAAAACAAGTATTTTATATATAAAAAAAAAAAAAAACAATACCAATGACTCACTGTAAATTTAAGAGAAGTTAAACCATTTTGAAAATTCTTAGATTTTTTGTTGGCTAGCTCATTTTATCTTTGAAATTAACTGCAATGTTTTGACCAATCCGGCAACTTTGTGTATATATTGTCTGAAAATTCTCACGAGTCACAAATCGTCATTTGGGTACCTCTAGGGGTTTAAACTCTTGCTGCACATCCTACATGCAATCGTGTTTTCCCTACGTTATTGGCTAGATTAGGTTTTTGCTTTTTGCTTGTAGTTTTATCTTTTTTTACTCGAGACGAGTAAAGACCTATGTTTGAGGATGTGATAAGAGTTCTTCGCACAATTTTCACTTATCGAATCTTCGAGTTTTGATCTTTGTTCATCCGAGTTTTCGGATTTATTTGTATATATTATACCTTTAGTGTTTTATTTCAGTTTTAGGTATAGATAAGCCATTATTGTTAATTCAAAGCAATTTTAAAGTGAAATCGATTTTCAAGCCAAAAGGTGGCCAAGAAGGCCACCTTGATCGCGGTCCACAATTCTTGATCGCGATTTAGGGTTTATTTCAAAAGACAAGTGATCAAGACCAACACACCTGATCGCGATCTGAGGAGCAAGACAAAGAGTTTGATTCAAGACCCAGATTACTATCTCATTTCTTGATTGCGATCTGGGAGAAAATTAGAGGATTCAACCTCCTATCTGGATCGCGATCCACACATTTCTTACCGCGATTTGGCAAGGCGGTTACCAGTTTCTTGAGGTCACCAGATCACAATTCAAGATGCCAAAATCGCAATATGGGCACAAATTTCGAGGCCATATATTTTAGTTACAAAGTTTCTTTAAGAAGTTTTTAAAACTATTGTAAATAAAAGAGTCTATTCATTTGAACGTTTTTTTTCGACTTTACTTCATTTTCAAGTTCTTTGCGAGAAGTTTCAACATGGATTTCGGCTCTGGTTTTTCTTAGGCTTTTTCCTTACAAATAGTTTATGATTTCTTGTCTTCTTCCTTTTGACGCTATGTTTCGAACTAATTATGTTTTCTTCTACGAAAATAAAACCTTGTATATGTTGATTTCGATTTCCAAATTTGTTATCTATTTGCCTCGTCTAAATTCCGTTCATGTTTTCCTATACAAAATGCTTCCGATTGATTAAACACCTGTGAGATTGATGTTAAGAATGAGCTCGAGAGAGGATTTCTTGAATTTGAGAAATACAGCTTGGGTTGTGAAAACTGAAGCATGATATACCTGGGGTAGCCCTAAAGGACTTGGCATTAAATATTGGATTTGTGGGTAGACTCTAGCAACTTGCATTATATACCAGGTTTGTAGTTCGTCTTTGATAGTATATTGGTGGGTTTTTTGCTATAAGCTTTTTTTACAAATAGAAGCCTTCCCATTAAATTTGTGATTGTTACATTTACAATTATTTGTATTTTCATGTTTACGATCATTATTTTGTTTCAGTTATTAGTGTTAATCACAACTCCATCCAATTACGATCAGTTAGATAATATAATTAGATTACTCGACATCATAATTTATAGGTTCTTCTGGATCAATATTTGAAATTCATTATTTTGCAAAACGCAATGTCGTACACTTACGATTATTTGTACATAGGTTTTACGTGTATCAGTAATATTATTTACTAAAGATTTGGTGAAGGGTAGAGATAAATTTTTAAAAAAGTCACCCTCAAGGGAGGTGGTGTAATACTGTAATTCACCCTTTATTTTTACTATCACAAACTTCCTTAGTCTTAAAAGATCATATTTTAAGAGACAACACACTTAAATACGTAATTAAAAGATATCAAATTTTATCATTTTCTTTGATTAATTTTTTTTTAATATTTTATCGTTATAGAATTTTAAGGAATGCTATCATTAAATTAATGTAGTTCATTACAGTATTGAACATAATCAATTAACATAATATACATTATTATTGAATAATTTAAAGACATACTATTTTTTTGCATTTTTTGTAATATTTACGTTTATTTATAGTTAATTTGTATGATTTTGCAAGCTCAATCACAATATTAATTTTATGTAGATTTTTAGAGTATTTATTTATTTGACAAGTAAAATTAAATAAAAAAATGAAAAAATATATATTTGAAGCTGAAAATATTGAAAGGGATATCTTACGTATTAAATTTATTGTAAATTAAAAAAAATTAAGCCTGTAAGGAGGACATTGTTGGATGAAAATAAATTTTGGCGGTTTTCAGTAGTTATGGATACCTCAGAGGTTTGTTTGGTAATTCGACCATATTCTAGGGGGTTTAGGGAAATTGGTAGTTTGTTTTATTTGACTTAAGAGTATTATCCGGTTCCTTCGACCCTACACCCGGTGAAAAACACCGGGTGGGTCTTCTGCTGTCACGTGTCCATTTTTTTTTATTTTTCTAAAACCCTTAAAGGTAAACCCTAGCGGGGAATATATTATAAAATATAAAAAAAAAAAAACACGTGGCAGCAGAAGACCCACCCGGTATTTATCACCGGGTGTAGGGTCGAACAAATCGTATTATCCTTATTACACATTTTTTCTGTAATTAATTTAGCAACCATTAATCAAAATGTATGTGGTAATTATGATTACTTGATGGTTTTTGACATTTTGTTAGTTAGAGCAACTCCAACCCATTGTTATCAAATGGGATTATCAAATAGTCATTTGATAACTAGGATTATACTTTGATATCTCTATACAACTATTGTACTCCAACTACAAGTATCAAAAAATCGATTATCAGACAAATTTATGATTATTTATATATTATTTATTTTTTTAATCCATTTTTAAATAACAATACAAACCGATCTTTCAGGTAAACTATCCTCAAATCAATATTAATCAAGTTTTTACCTTTTCAAAACCGAAAAAAAAAATTATATATACATTTAGATTCTTTTTTTCCGTGGAACTATGTTGAAGCTGTAGAGAAAACAAAAATCTGTTGAGATGTTTTTGAGATTTTAGTGGAAATTTGTTGAAGGCGTAGAGAATTTAATTTTATTTTGTTGAGATTTTTACGTAAAGAAAAGAAAACTCAATTTTGTTGAGGTTTTTCTTTTTCCACGTGCTCCTAGTTTTTAGGAGAATATTTGATAATTATTTATTTGGGATGTATTTTTACTTCTCCATGAATGAGTTATCAAAATAGAACTCTATTTTAATAACCCCATTGGAGGAGAGAATTTTTAAACTTGGGGAGTCCGATTTGATAACCCATTTAATAACTCGTTAGAGTTGCTCTTAGAGCAACTCCAACCCATAAATATCAAAATGAATTATCAAATATTTATTTGATATTTTATATTTTACTTTGATAACTAAATAAATTTATTTGCTCCAACCATAGTTATCAAATAGTTCATAATTAAAAATAAATAATGTGATTATATATTTTAATTAACACATGTCATTTTCTAATTGGTTATTAAGGTGGTTAAGTTATGTAACTTCCAATTGGTATTATTTCTTCCGGATGTATTTTTACATCCCAAAAATTAAAATATCAAAATAGAAACTCATTTGATAACTCCATTGGAGTGAAAAATTTCTAATTTCAATTATCAAAATGGTAGTTAAGGGTTTTGATACCCCATTTAATAACGCCATTGGAGTTGCTCTTAGAGCAACTCCAATGGAAATATCAAAATTGAATTATCAAATACTCATTTGATAATTAAGATAATATTTTAATATTCATTTATAGTTTATCTACTCCAACCATGATTATCAAAATTAATAATCAATTGGAAGTTTTTTAGTGGTTTTATTTGCATTTGCCACGTGTCATTTTCTAATTGGACGTTTAGGTGGTTAATTTTTTGATAACTCAATTTCCAGGATCTATTTTTACATACAAAGAGGTAAAATATCAAAATACTTACCCATTTTGATACCCCCATTGGAGTAAAAAAAATTAATTTTGGGATATCAAAAAAGTGGTTTATGGGTTTGATAATCCATTTGATACTCCCATTGGAGTTGCTCTTAGACTTCAGTTTTAGGGAAGGATTTTAGTAATTTACCCTTGAAATATTCACATTTAAATTAATTATTATTTATTATTAATTGGAAATGTATTATGAAATAATAATTATTAATGGAAAATATATATCTTCCGTGTATCGCAGCGGTGAAATTACTAGTTATACATATAAACTGCAGACTTGAGGTTTGAATTATTATAGACCATATGTTTATAAAATATGATGCATCCATAGTTTATTTATTATTTTTTTTCCTATATAAATTCTCTTTGAGTGTTTTTCTATACGCTATTCTATGTAGTATATTTTAATTGAATATTTTCTAAATATAATATAGTATTATATTATTAATATATTTACCACTAAAAGTACCGAATATTTGGTGCACGGTTTGGTAGTATTATCAATTAGCTTCAAGGGAAGCCAACCTACATTTTCACCAACTCTCTTAAGTGTCCAATTATTTAATCATTCTATACAATAAAAAATGCTC